ACACAGAGACTCTCGCAAAGGGCTTATTGAAGGGACGCTTGCTGCAAGGAGAGGCCCTCCTTGCACCCCCATTGCCCTCAGTACATCTCCCCAGTAAATGCTCACTGCTCCAGATTGCTAACCCCATTTCCTTATCTGTGCACCACTCAACTGTGAGCTCCCTGGGGGCCTGCAACAAGTCCTGTTAAATGCATCTCCATCCCCTGCACCAACCAGGCCAGCAAAAGGAGGTCTCAGTAAAAGTGTTTTGAAAGGGAGTCTTTGGGCTGCCTCTGACTTGTTTCCTTACACGGAGCTCTCCTCCCTATCCTTCTTGACCCAAGAAGAGCCGGAAGGGATTTCAGATCTCCATAGAAGCACCCAGGAGCTTGGCAAGAGCTAAGGAGCCCCTCTGCAGTTATGGTTACGCCTCCATCCCCTTTCTCCACCCTGCGCCCATGCCCTCAGCCTCTGTGACAGGGTAGAGCCCCAAGCCCCCTCCTTCCTGCCCTTTCTCTTGCCCACTTGTGGATTTCACTCCCTGCTGCAATCACACCATGATGCTGTGCTGACAACTAATGTCAAACAGGAGTATAGTCAGAGGAAACTGGCACCCAGTCCCTGGTCCTGACAGACCCCCACCTCCCCACTCCAGGCTTCTTCCTCCAGCGTGCTCTGTGTTCCCGGCCTCACCTAGGCCCAAGGCGCTGACTCCATCTCTTGGCTCTAACATTTATAGGAACACTGGGGCTAAGAAAATCAATTGTGTTAATTGGAGAAGCTCTCCACTGGAGATGCTACCCTAAAAGCAAACCGTATGTAAAACACTTCAAGTGGGGAGCTCTGTAATATGTTTCTTTTGCTACACGACCACTGCACATTTGTCCAGAGTTCGGGGCTTTCAAACCACAGAAGGTTTTATGTGATCGTTATAAAATCCCTTCATTTCCCTAAGGTAGGGTAGTAAGGATTAAGTTTGACTACTGAAGACAGCTTTGTTGTAAATGGTCTCTAATGTCACAAAAGTAGCTTGGAAAGAGAGGCTTATTAAACAAATTTCTTGAGTTGCAAATCATTAGAAGCAATCACATGTTGCATTCATTTGCTTAATCTGAAAGGTATCCATTTGGATGTTTAAAGTAACTATGCAAATTAACATTGTTCCCAGTGCCCACAAGAAAGCTGGCTAATCTTAAAGGAAACCCAGGGAGCCCCTTGAAGAAGTCAGACTGAAGTTAAGCATACTCTCTTGTGGTTTCCCCACCTTTTTTATAAAAAGTTATTCATGGGAATCTGTATCCAGAGAAGAATGAGACAGGATTTGTTAATCCAAAGATGGGAAACTCCAAAGCAATCTTGCCCATCTCATCTAAAGCTGTCATCCTACCAAAAGAGAAGTGGGTGGTTGCACAGTGAGGGGCAGGGCGGGAACCACATCCCAGTCTCCCAGTGGATGGGTCCTGTCTTCCTTACTTTTCAGCGCACTAGGCCACCTCTCTGCTTTGGAGCAATCCTGTGTTCCTTTAACAATAGGAAGGGTAAGTAGGTGAGCACAGGAGGGTCAAGAGACAAGGGAAAGAGGTGAGGGAAGCTCTTGATTAAAATGATTTGTGGTTTTGAAATTATCACAAAGAAGGACAGAACTTGCACCAGCAAGTGCAGGGGATGTAGATTTTAAATCTGCTCATTGGAGAGACTGAGAGGTCACATTCTAGATACTTGGTCTTTGGCAGGGCCAGTCCTTGGTCAGGGCAGTGGCTCTTGCCCCTCTTGGTTCTGAGACCCCTATTTGGCTCTCGATCCTGGAGGCCCTCATCTAGTCCTTACCAGTGAAGGCAGCTGCAGCCTTTCACATAGTCCTAACCACCTACCCACCTCCCCAAGTCCTGCCAGAGGAGCAAGGCCTGCTCATCTCACCTGGATGCAGGCCCTTTTCTGTATCTCTTTTGCCCACCCTCCCAGTCCTGCATAATCCACCTATAAGACCTCTGTGTCTCCACTTTGGCCTTTCTCTTCTGGGGTGGGAAATCAGAGATGTTAACACTAGCTAGTACCTTTTTTCTTGATAGCTTAGGAATTCATATTAAAATATTACTCAGATAAAACAAAAGTAGGATTTACATATTAATTGTAAAACTATTTCACAGTACACTTGTTAGGACACCAGTAGGCATTCTGACTCAATTCTGGTATTATTTTCCCTTTTTGTTTCTGTTAGGATCCCAGTTCTAATTGGTCCTGGCAGTAACAGGCTATAAGAAGCCAGGGATATAGTATTATTCCTTCATAGTTTGCTGTTGTTGATTATCCCTATGCACATGACCCAACACATAAAGATGATCTACGTGTACATAGCATAGCTTATCATAAAACTCTTTTATAGATGATGGAATGGAGGACTGGAGAAGTCAGATGGGTTTCCTAAAGTCTCACAGTGAGCTACAGAAAAGATCTGAACAAATGCATATGTATTTCATCTCTCCTGCCACCTTAGATTAAATGCTTATGACTGCTTGGTGACACATTGTTAAGGATTCTGAAGCTGTGTCCATGCTCGCTGGAGAAAAAGTGCCTTGATTTGATCACCATGGTACCCAGGGCCTCCTTCATTTTCCACAGCAGCTATTTCCAACATGTCTCAGCCAAGGCATAGTCTGCAGTGGGGACCTTCAGAGAGTCCATGACGTGGCCTGTACGAGTCACTGGGCTCAGCCCAAAGCAAACCCTGTTGAAGTTCTCCTTTGAATAACCTTTATTAAGGACATTAATATGTCAGATCTGGCAAGTCACAAATACCAAGGAAGAGTATTTGGCCAATTCTCAATAAGGGGCTACAATGGGAAGGTGAAGATCTCTTTCCATTAAGAAAACAAATAGAACCTAAGAGGCCCATAGCATGGTGGCTTAGAACAAGTTGCAGATGGAAGCCCCGAAATTGCTGGTGAGTGTGTGACCTCCCTGAAACTTTGGGGAGGATACTTAGATAGGAGGTGGTCAGTTTCCTTGGGCTCAGGTTTCAGACACACCTCTGGGTCACCTCTGGGTTTCAAGCCATTCCCCAAAGTCTCAGGGCCCTCCTCTAGGCCTTCCCCTAGAGTAAAGTTGCTGTTACAAATTGTACCTATTTTTGGCATCAATGCAAGACCACAGGGGGCAGACTTATGCAAATACAGTGGCTGGGCATGCTCAGTAGAAAGGGGTTATATAACTTATAGCCAAGCATGCTTAGCAAAGTGGAATTCATTTTCATTAGGTAGCATGAAAATGTATTGGATAGCATGAATAGGTATTAGATAGCAAAACTATAAGAGCCAAATCTTGACAGAAGGAGGGGTTGTTGCTTACTTTCCTGAGGCCATCCCATACTTACCCTAGCTGAAGTGTGTATCCTTTCTTTTGCATCAGACTTACTTTCTGCAAGCGGCTGCTCTCACTCTGTACTGTAAGTGGGTTCTTACTTTTATATTAAACCTGGTGCAGGCCCTGCTTGGTCTCTGGAAATCTGTGTCTGGAAATCTGCTCACTCTCTCTGAAATCTGTGTCTCTTATTTGTTGCATCAAACATGTTCTCACTTTCTACTGTGACTCTGCTCTTGAATTCTTTCCTGTGGCGAAGCCAAGAACCTGGTAAGAGAACGAGGTGGGTTAAGGCTGGTTATCGGGCCTTCCTAGACCCCTTCTCCTCCAGCATCAATATTAATTCATGGGGTCTTTATGATTACCTAATTAGATGCAATGGTGTCCGTATGCATTTCCCTGGGCTGCCATAACAAAGTACCACAAACTGGGTAGCTTAAAACAACAGACATTTATGGTCCCCCAGTTCTGGTGGCAAGAAGTCTGGAATCAAGGTTACAGTCCACCCTCCCTCTGAAGGCTCTAGAGAGGATCTATCCCGGCCTCTCTCCCAGCTTCTGGTGGCTCCAGCTGCTCCTGGCTTGTAGACGCATCCCTCCAAACCTCCCTTTCACAAGCAGTTCTCCCTGTGTCTGTCTGCCTGTGGCCTGTGGCCTTCAGTCATATAGATTGTGGGCCCACTTATTAACTGGTTAATGCGGAGTCGGCCCAGGAGCCTGGGAGAGTGCACGTCATGGGCCACCGCCTACCACGGGCGCGAGAGGCTGATCCACGGCCCGCCTTCCCTAGAGCGCCTCCGGTGAGCGTCTGCGGGGTCCCCGCCCTCAGGGGCGGCCCCGGTGGGCAACGGCTCTTGCTCCAGGGCAGCGCAGCCGCCCACAGCGGGCCAGGTTCACACCGACTGCGTCGCCCGGCGCCCAGGCTCAAGGGCCCCGCGGGGCCTTCACAGCATCGGGACGCGGCGGGTGGGCTGTCTGTGCCACGAACGGGTACGGGGCTGACGTACGGGGCTGACATCCGGTAAACTACGGCACACAGCCCGAGAGGCGGAGGCGCGGCAGGCGCGGCCAGGCTTGCACGGGCCAGCAGGGCCCGCGGGGGTGGGAGCGCGGGGACTCCCGTGAAGCAGGAAGCTTCGACCTGGGGCGCCGGGTCCAGCGAGGCTGCGCGGAGCGGGTCAGCCCCGGCGCGTCCGCACTGAGCATGCTCCAACCCGGCTCC